TCCTGCTGGGCACGGGTGTTACCCTTGTAGACAGCAGCGCTGAGGAACACAGAAAGTTCCTGGCAAAGCACTGAACCCAGAGTTCCCCAGTCCCAGCCAACCATCCTAACTATGAGTTTGGCCTTCCTCCCCTCATAAGATAATTTTATATTTGTGATTCTTAGTTCTGCAAATCTGTAGGTGATTTCTGTTACCCAAATATAGCTTTATTGTGTGGTTAAATCCTAAATTGTTGAGATACTAAAGGACTTGCTTGCTTGGTAAAGTTTCAGATACTGGGAAAGCAAATTGAGATACTAATAAGAGCCCAAACAACTGATGTGGGAGAGCACAGTATTAACCTTAGGAAAAAATAATTTAATTTTAGTTAAGGACTGAACCTACATCTACACATCTCAGAGCTGAATCAACTCTGGCCTGTATTATACCATTTACAAACAGTTACATGCCTCTCTGTAAGAGTGCTTTCAAAGTATTCTCCTTCCCAAATACAAATGCCTACAGCTACACAATTTTATTTTACAAAGATATCCAGTACTTTGGGCTAGATCCTCTGCTGGTGTCAGTAGGCATGACTTTATGCCAGAAGTGCACCACTTTGCACCATTAGGCCTGTTCCCCTTTAGATTCTTGCCAAACCTACAAAAAAAAGTTGCTAAGCATTTTGACAGACGCCCTAAGAAATTATTTACTAAAGACATTCTTGCAAAAATTGTTAAGGAAACAAAGACCTCTTTTCCTGCTACCTGATATGTAATTATCAGAAACTCCAAGGCCAACAACCTTGGATTCACGGTAGTAGAACCTGGTTGTAACATGGATTGCCACCAGTACAGTTTCAAATCAGATTTACCAGATGTACTTTCTTTCTCTGATTTTTTTCTCTCATTCCAAGATAATCTTTTCTTTCCATGTGCTCCGGGAGGGGGTGAGGGGGGGGTGGGGGGGGGTGGAGGTAGAAGAATGTGATCCCAGTGGAAGATTGTGATGTGATACTAATTCAGACATAAAAATAAATGTGTATCAACCTAATCTACTCTGCAAATGACACCTTATTCTGAAAAACAAAAATATGTTCTTATGGACACAGTGTGCGTGTCTACATGACATACTTACTACATGGTAAACTACTAGGCTAAACTAATTAACTATGCAGCAGGGTAGTACTTGTAAATACAAGCACTATCTTGCTGCAGAGTTTTTTTTACTCCACAGCAGTGCACATACAGATGCTGCCCTGGCTGGCTGGGGCTCGAGGGTGCTTCAGTGCAGGGGGCTGTTTGCCGGCTAGCCCCACACTGAAGCACCCTCATGCCCCAACCAGCCCCTCCACAACACATTTAGCTGAGGGGAGCAGCACCGGGCTGGCAGACTGACTCCTCAGAGTCTCTGCCAGTGGGGGCTGCTCCAACCCAACTCAATTTGCTGCAGTCCCAGGTGCATGTGAAGACACAGTGCCCAGGAACAATAAACTCCAAAGTTTATTATGCACATTTTACCCAGAGTTTTTAATACAAAGTTCTGAAACTATGTCACTCATTTGCCCTCAATGGGATCTGAAGCATGCAATATGTTAGATAGGTAATTAACGCAAGGGCCACACAACAGATTTTGAAACTTCTAAAAGCCTTACAAGCAGTCTACAGCAGTTAATAATTCTTGAGGTCTTGTAAATACAAAAACAAACTTTTTTTTTTAAATTGAAGGAATCTGAAAGTATTGCAGATACATCTAGCAAAGCACAGTCCCATATACCCATGCACACCACAATGATTGCAGAAGGAATAACACACAATGTATCTTGTCATGAACTGTGGTGTTAAGCAGAGATGTATGAGAGACTTAACACAACATGAAAATTGTTGAAAGTTTCCAAGATATTCTATAGTCTACCCTGGGAAAAAGCCAAGACCTTTGAAAATTCTTCAAAAACCAGAAAGAAGATGCACTGAATTCACATCTGCCCTGTTACCACTAAGCTTGCTGGCTTTCAGGTCATCGAAATTTCTTAATCTCACTATAGCTTTTTCCTTTTATGTAATTAAATATTAACTGGACCAGAATAAGAGACAGTAGTGGTTAGGTCACTCACACAGGACAAAGGTTATCCTATTAAAAGGCCTGCATCTCCCACATCCCAAGTGAGTGTGCTAACCTCAGAACTATCCTGGTGGATAAATACAAATTCAGGCTATTCTGGGGCAGTTCTATCGTGACCAGAGAAACTTTCCCTTCCATTAAAAGTGATCTTTTCCACAAAAAGTTTTGTTTTTGACAAATCAAGCCTTTTATAGCCAGCCCCCCCTCCCCCCCCACACACTAGACTTCCTAGACTTTACTTCTCCCCTCCTCAATTCTTAACCAAGTTTGCCTAGCCCTAGAGGGTATTACAACTGACTGTGGTCCCTACAGTCATACTACCTCTCACAATTTCCAGTACTCACACAGGATCACCCTTCCTTAGCTCTACTAGATGCCAAAATTTGGCACCTTAAGTGAATCAGAAAAATAGCATTATTAATAATAATAATAATAATAATAATAATAATAATAATACTAGAGATGTCAACATGGGGTGAAAACGAGAACAACAGCTACCCAGGGAAGAAATATCTACTAGAACTATGCTTGCCATTTTTTAGAAAGTTACACATAATATCTTAAGCGCTGCTGAATGATACAGTACACAAAAATATAATCGCTGAGAGATCTGATAGGGCACAGAGGTTAAGAAAAGAAGAAGCTTTGCTGGGAAGCCACTAGGCTAATCAAGTTAAATACATTCTCCTCCTTTAAGAAAGTTTCAAAAAAAATATTCAGAGAGCTAATTAATTAGTTATCTTAACCTCTTAAATATCATGGGACCTATCACATGGAATTCTTCAAGTGACTGTACCCTTTGTTTATTGTGAACAGAAAGTATTTCACTTTCAGGAACTCCCATACAATCCTTAGGAAGCCTTTCAGCTTCTCATTCCTTTAATTTCTGTCACTTCCTATTATCTATGCATTAGCTATAAACTTAGCAAAACCTTCTTAATCTGCCTGTGTGTACACATATGCAATGAAAAAATCTTATAAAACAATTTTAACTTGAAGCAATGATACTTCCATCATCTAGATATACCCAAACTCAATTATGTTCAAAATAGGTCAGAGCTGTATGACCTATTTTGTCTTGTTGCCTTAAATACATGGCAAACCAAGTTAAATTTCCTTTGATATTTATCTTTCTGGTTAGATAGTATATCTTGCCAGCTATTGACAATGGCTATTTGAAGTAGCTATGAAACTTGAGTGACTTTCTAAAGTAGTATTTTCCAGTGATTTACAGCTCACTTTTTTAGTTAAGAAAAGTTCAATAGCAAATAATGTTGAGTGAGATTTGTCTTTACAAAATTTTACAAAATCCCTTTAATAAAGCAAAGACAGTCTTTGACTATAACCTCCTGCATACTGGCAGAACAGTTTAATACAGAGAAGCAGCTAATAACCATGTACATGAGCCCTTTGGATTGCCTCCAGTTCACTACATTGACAACACCTCCATACAGAGTTGCATAGTACAGTACATTAAACAAGCTCGATACATTTGTACAATCTCTGCACAAACTATGGGCAACCAGGGCAGG